ATATCAAAGAATTTAACAGTCACTGGTCATTAATCTCTCTCAAAATCAATGGACTCAATTCTCCAATAAAAAGATACAGACTAACAGAATGTATGCATAAACAAGACTCAAAAATCTGTTCCATACAAGAAACACACCCAAGTCACAAAGATAGACATTAACTAAGAGTAAGGGCTGGAAGACAGTTTTCCAAGGAAATGGACCCAAGAAGCAAGCAGGAGTAGCCATTCTAATGTCTAATAAAATAGACTTTCAACCAAAATTAATCAAAAGAGATAGAGAAGGACACTTCGTACTCATCAAGGGAAAAATCCACCAGAAAGATATCACAATCTTGACCATCTATGCCCCAAATACAAGGACACACACATTTGTAAAAGAAACATTAATAAAATTTAAATCACACACAGATCCTCACACATTAATAGTGGGAGACTTCAACACCCCACTCTCAACAAAGGACAAGTCAACAAACAGAAATTAAACAAAGAAACAATGATTCTGACAGAGGTCATGAATCAAATAGACCTCATGGACAACTACAGAAGCTTTTACCTAATCACAAAAGAATTTACCTTCTTCTCAGCATCTCATGGAAGCTTTTCAAAAATAGACCATATAGTTGGTCACAAAGCAAGCCTCAACATATAGATGAAGATTGAAATAATCCCTTGTTTTCTATCTAATCACCATTGAATAAAGCTGGACTTCAACAAAAGAAACAGTAAAAGGCCTACTCACACTTGGAAATTGAACAGCTTACTACTAAATGACAGCTGGGTCAGAGAAGAAATAAAGAAAAAAATTAAAGTCTTCCTAGAATTCAATGAAATTGTGTCCCAAATTATGGGACACAATGAAAGCAGTGCTAAGAGGAAAGTTCATAGCTCTAAGTGCCTTCAAGAAGAAATTCAAAACATGTCATTCAAGCAACTTAATGGCTCACCTAAAAGCCCTAGAAAAAAAAAAAAGAAGAAGCAGACACACCAAAGGGGAGTAGATAGATGGAAATAATCAATCTCAGGGCTAAAGTCAATAAATTGGAAACAAATAAAACAATTCAAAGAATCAGTGAAACCAAGTGCTGGCTCTTTAAGAAAATCAACAAGATAGACAAAACATTAGCCAAACCAATTAAAAGGAAGAGAGACTCTATCCAAATCAACAAAATCAGAAATGAAAAGGGGAACATAACCACAGACACTGAAGAAATCCAAACAATCATTAGGTCTTACTTCAAAAGCCTATATGCCACAAAATTTAAAAATCTAAATGAAATGGACAATTTTCTTGACTGATTCCACATGCTAAAGCTGAATCAAGACAGGTAAATCAATTAAATAGTCCTATATCCCATAAGGAAATAGAAGTGGTTATCCAAAGTTTCCCATGCAAAAAAAAAGCCCAGGGCCAGATGGTTTCAGAGCAGAATTCTACCAGACCTTCAAAGAATAGCTAACATCAATACGTTTCAAACTATTCCACAAAATAGAAACAGAAGGAACATTACCAAACTCATTCTATGAAGCCATAGTCACCTTGGTACCTAAACCTCACAAAGACCCAATAAAGAAAGAGAATTTCAGACCATCTCCCTTATGAACATTGATGCAAAAATACGCAACAAAATACTTGCAAACCAAATATAAGAACACATCAAAGATATCATCCACTATGACCAAATAGGCTTCATCCCAGGTATGCAGGGGTGGTTCAATATATGGAAATCCATCAATGTGATCCACCATATAAACAAATGGAAGGAGAAAACCACATAATAATCTTCTTAGATGCTGAACAAGCATTTAACAAAATCCAACATCTATTCATGTTTAAAGTGTTGGAGAGATCATGGATACAAGGCACATACCTAAACATAGTAAAGGCAATATACAGCAAGCCTATAGCCAATATAAAACTCAATGGAGACAAATTTAAACCTATTCCACTGAAATCAGGAACAAGGTAAGACTACCCACTCTCTCCATATCTCTTCAACATAACTCTGGAATTCCTTGCTAGAGCAATAAGACAATTGAAGGAGATCAAGGGGATATAAATTGGAAAGGAAGAAGTCAAAGTATCACTATTTACTGATGATACGATAGTATACCTGAGTGACCCCAAATATTCTACCAAGGAACAATTCTCTACAGTAAGAGACCTTCTGGAGGTATCTCCATCCCTGATCTCAAGCTCTTATTTAGAGCAACAATACTAAAACCTGCATGGTACTGGCATAGAAACAGAATGGTGGATCAATGGAACCAAATAGAGGACCCTGAAATAAATCCAAAACTTATGGACACCTGATTTTTGACAAAGATAACAAAACTGTTCAATGGAAAAAAGACAGCATCTTCAACTAATGGTGCTGGTCTAACTGGATGTCTACACGTAGAAAAGTGCAAATAGATCCATATTTATCACCCTGCATGAAACTGAAGTCCAAGTGATCAAAGACCTCAATATAAAACCAGACACACTAAACCTCTTAGAAGAAAAAGGAGGGAAGCACTTTGAACTCATTGGTACAGGAGACAACTTCCCAAACAGAACACCAACAGCACAGGCTCTAAGTGCAACAATCAATAAATGGGACCTCATGAAACTGAAAAGCTTCTGTAAAGCAAAGGACGCTGTCCTCAGAACAAAACGACTGCCTACAGATTGGGAAAGGATCTTCACCAACCCTATACCTGACAGAGGACTAATATCCAGTACATAAAGAACTCAAGAAGTTAAACAGCAACAAATCAAGTAATCCAATGATACAAAATATTTTAATCAGAATTTTCCTGTACTCTAACTTCTGCCTGATCAGTTTTTTTTATTTAAATGAACTTTTTGGTTTCTGTGGGTGTTTTGCTTTTGTTGTTTGGGGTGTTTTGTTTTCTTTTTTTGAAAGTGAGAGGGGGAGAAAGAGCACAAAGTTGGTGAACAGGATGAAGGAGCAGGAAGACAGCATGGATTCTTAATGTATTGCTTGTATTCACTCAACTTCCAACTGTTGTGACCCTGGTTTGATTGGCAATAAAACATGATCATAACAATCCTGGCTTCTCTTCAGAAACAAACCAGAAATTCTCACCCCAAACCCCTGGGACTTCAACATCCCCTAAGCATCAGTTCAGACAAATGAAATCAAAACATGCTTGTGAGTCTGAAGTCTCTGTTTAGATCCTGGAGAGCCATTGACCCAGAAAAGGATTACTGTGATGACATAGCTCTATGGCAGTCTTCTCAGGAGCCTGCGAAGGAGAAGCATGAGAGTGAGGAGCCTCTGTGTCCAGATGTTTAGCAATGTCATTTATAGGCACTGAAACATGTCCATATTTGATGCTATTTTGCAGTTCTTATAGTTTTCACGAAAACAAAACCCCTTTCCAAATAATCTTTTGTTCATAAAAGTGTGAATAAGTGAGCATTGCCCAAAATAAATGGTTTTGTCTTCAGATCCTGAAGGAATGAAAACTCTTCTTAACTGTATGCTTAAAATGCATCTGGTGAGGGAATTTATGTCAAACCTCAATCTCCAAGAACAGAATTTGCTTGATAACTGCATGAAGACACCCAAGTGGTGACAACTGGGTTATTCTAAATCAGCTTGTCCTCACCTTCCCTTAGTTCTCTTGAAGTTATTTCCAGCCTTTCATTCCCTAGGATGCTCACGCTGTGTCTTGAGGTACACAGAGTTTCCAAATTCTCTGTTGCACATCCTTAAATATGCCTTCACTCTCCTGTTGACTTCCAAACTAGGTGTTTGTATTCAATGAAACCTATTTCAATCAGATAGAAATTCTCTTTTTCATTTCTGACTCAAGTTTAAACTTGACAGGGATAGAAAACCTTGAAAATCATGAGTTCAGCTATTGGAATTGTGAGATATATCTCCTACTGCTAAGAGCCAACTGACTTTATTTTCCTTTGTGATTGTCCCCTTTTCATACTGAAAAACTATTCACTGTAGATGAGAAAGAGAACTTTTAGGGTTTAGATGTTTAAGTTAATATCTACCATGTTGTTATTACTGGTTTTGTTTTTTCTGAGACAGAGTTTTACTATGTTGCTCGGGCTAGTTTACCAATCCTAGCCTCAAAAATTCCTCCTATCTAAGCTCCCAAAACAGTTAGGGCTACAATAGCCATTAACAATGTGCCATAAAAAATATTTAAATTTATAAGCTAATTTAAATTTTTTCCATTGGTAATCTTGTTGGCATTTATATAGTATTAAGTGAGTAATCCTTGCAAAATATTAGACAGTGAAAGAATCTTTAATTCTCTGCATTGCTGATGGCAATAATTACTGCAGCTGCTTCTAATAACTAAGCTTTTATGTTCAAATTTATATTTTGTTCATTTATGAAATACACATGTAAAATAATTTCTTTACAGAAAGTTGTGTATTTTCATTATATTATTAATTTTTATTCTTTCCTCCCCACTGATATCATTTATATATTTTAAACACACCAGCATCCTTGTGAGGGTCTCCTGGTTTACACAGTTTACAAGTGAATTTCTTGATGGTAGATGAAGATATAAAAGGAAAACATGAGGAAGTAGAATAGTTCAGTGGTTACATAAATTCCCACTGCCCCATGGTCATCAGAGGAGATTAATGTAGAAGAAAAGTTTATATGATTTCTATCCCAGAGGCCAAAGTCAAGTTCTCCTGACACTGGTCTATAATAACCACACATGAACAACTTCAATGACAAGAATGTAGGGAACAGGGCCTTCATCATTTATAGTTGCTGCAAACCAAACACACAGAGAACTATTTCTACATTCACATAGGAAAAACAATTCCCCTAAACTAGTTAAGGAAATTGATCTAAAACTCCAACTGTTTTTGAGGAGCAAAGGGAGAATGTAGAAATGCAAGTTAAGACTTCATCTTGGTCTGTCTCTGGGCTGAGTGAGTCTAATCTTTACACTCACAGTGCCACCTGTCACCTGGTCCTGCAAAGAAGAACTCCTGCACACCCTCCAGGCTCAGCCCTGCTGCAGGCTTTGCTGGAGCCTCAGCTGCAGGTTTGGGTCTGGGCTGCAGGTGTCTGCGAAGCACTGTGCACTTGCTGCACAGAAGTAGGTGGCGGAATCTCCAGGCTGAGAGTCTGCGATGTGCAAGGAGAGCTGCTTGTCGCTCTTACTGAAGAAGACTGTGAATCGTCCTTCTTCCTTTTTATTGGACACTGAACGTATGGCTATCAGGAGAGCAGGGCCTCCACCAGGGAACTGCCGGTACCATGGGAAGTAGTCAAATGCACTGTTCTCATAAGTGCAGTTCAGAACTGTGGTCCCTCCTTCCCAGACTCTCAGAGATTGGGGACTTTGTCTCACCTGCTGCTGGTCACGTCTTTCCTTCTGCTGGCCACTCACCCCTGTGCAGGCAAACAGCAAATGGTGTTAGGTTCCTAAGGATGCACTATCTGCTGATGGTTTCAAGACTGATGACTTTGTCTGGTGCCCCAATTCCCTCCTGCTTCCAAATCAATCACATATCCTGAGATATGTGGTTTCTCCTCCATGACTCACCTGCTAGGTGAAGGCCTAGGACTAAAAACAATGCTTTCAAGACCTTGTCCATTCCTTCTAGACTGAAGCTTGGGGAGAACTCAGGTGGCCTTTTCTCTCCCACAGAACACTGACTCCAACTTCACAGGCACCTCAGCCCTTTCAGCTGGCTCCACCCTTCATAACACTCCCTAAAGCTATTTCTCACAGAGGAAGCACTTCTTTGATTTCAAATTTGGTATTGCTAAAAATAGAGTAATGAGAATCAGAAATCCCCTCATTATAATTCTATAATTATACGCTGTTGGTAGAAATGTGTGTAGACATAGATACCCAGAATAGTGCGGATTTTCTGAAAGAAAAAAGAAGAGAGAGAGAGTGGGAGGAAGGCAAGGAGGAAGAAAAGACAGAAAGCAGAAAGGAAGCAAGGAAGGAAGAAAGACCAGTGATCCAACTAATACCACTTACTGGCATTTATCCAGGAGAAAGATGTCATTTCATGAGAGGGACACTGCATATGCATGTGTGTTACAGCACCATTCATGACTGGCAAGATGTAGACACAGCCTAGGTACCACCTGCCAAGCAATAAATGGACAGAATATTGTACTTGAAACTACAGAGTCATATTCAGCTGCAAAGAAATATGAGCTCCTGCTATTTGTAGGAAAGTGGATAGTATTAAAGGATACAATGTTAAGCAAAAATAAAGCAGACATGTAGACATACACAATATGTATGTGTTCTCATCTGTAAAAACAAATTAACTATCAAAAGAAAAAGAAAAAAGGAGTAAAGAAAAAGAAAGTAAATATTATTTGAAAGTAGAAGTTAGACAAACGAGTAAGGGAAGTGGAACGGGGACAAAGGGAAAGGAGAGGACAACAGAGAGTGAAGACAAGATGAATACAAGGAAATTGTCACATAGGCATACATTAAAATTTCACAAACCCACTAATTTGTACAATTAATGTGTGTTGATAATTTTGGTAATGTCATATGCCCTATGAGAGAACTGACTATAGTAGTCTACTGAATGGTTATAGTACGAATCCAACTCCTAATGTCTTCGCATCATGTCCACATAGATGAATGGAGCTCTCAGTCCTTGTTAAAAACCCACTGCACTGGTCAATGATTAGCCCTGTGCCCACTGTCAGCCAACGTGCAGAGAAGAGAATGTGGAATGGTCAGCCCTCATGGCACATGTCTACCACATGCTCTCCTCCCAAGGTTCAGGGATCATTGCAGAAGAAAAATCAGTGTTGGGACCAGAATGGCGGATGACAACAGGAAACAGTGTCTTCTGGACTCATCAGGGCAGCTGAATTTATGAGTAGCAGTTTTGTGACAGTCTGCACAAGGCCTATGCAAGCTTAAGGCAGACACAATCCTAGCATGGAGAGCAAGATTAGCATTGATACATCAAGTGTGCTTAATTACTGAGCTGTCTTTTCAGGTCCAGATCATTTGGGGTTTATCGCATATATTAACAAAGTGCATTGAAAACACACAATGAATTTTACTATCCCATTGCCAGCTAAGTTTGTGAGTAAATGAACCAAGAAGTATATATGCTCCATTCGCTTAAGAAAAATTTAAAATTTCTTATAATCATTTGTATGTGTCCACTTACATAAGTCCATTTACAGAGATAAATTTATTGAAATTTCATTATATTCTTATAAAAATATGCACCAGATTAACTAAATGTATCTAATACTATACCTGAAAAAAGAAATTAGAATTTGGTAGAATGATCTGCTCTGGAAAAGGTTTGGTCTTCAGATCACTGAGGAAAGGTAGAAAATATTCTGCATCCTAGACAGGACACACACCTTCAAGAATACACCCTTTTGACTGCTCTCATCCCCAGTGTACATAAACATTGAGTATCTTATATGTAATTTCATAGATAAAATACAAATATTAAAATCAGTTCAGCTTTCTCTACTGATATCAACAAGGCATAGAAGTGGAAGCAGAGAA